GCGACTCGGAGGGGAAAAAAGATCTTGCAACCACACAGGGCGGCGAACAGAGAAAAATGGAAAATAAAGATCTGAGATGGCGCTATTTGGCGATGGGATACGACGATTATGATAATGATGAATAATGAGCATGATTAGCTGGATTGGGCAGATGTGGATTTTTGAGGTCGCATATGGATATATTTCATGGTTTCATATGATTGGAGATTGATTGCGGAGGACGGGCAATGGATGGAAAACTTATCAAAGGACTTATGTAACTACCTACATGCAAAGCGAGCATGTTTGCAGATCAGCTACCCGTGGTGGGAAATCAGAGTTGAGCGAGAGAAGTGAGGATGACATTGCTACGAAACTGGAAATGGCACGACCCGCGAAGCAAAACTCCCTATACAATATTTGTTAGAACCGTACGAAGAAGCGAAAGGTATATAACAGCAGACAAATCCATTCCAAGCAAAAACCACAAGCAATCGCAAATCCACTCCATATGCTCCATTACAGTGCAGTGAAAGTGACAGTACCCTGAAGCAGAATCTATGCCAAAGCCGCCACAAGCACCACAGTCAACACAATGACGAGAATCAACAACAGACAACAAGCCTTGCCCCTAGCACTCTTCTGATGCCGGCTGGCCGTCCGCAGCTGCTGGTCCGCATTCCTCGTGTCGTCGCGCGTCTGCGTCACATTGTCCGAAATGATATCGAGCGTCTGGCCCTGCTCGTGCACCATATGCGCCACGTCTCTGAACAGCTCGTTCAGCTCGCCGACCGACTGCTCGATGTTGCGGATCTCCGACTCTCGCTCGATGATCAGCGTCTCCTGGAAATCGACCTCGGACTGCTCGGCGAGCCGCGGCTCCTGCTGCTGCTGCTGCAACTGTTGTTGCTGCTGCTGCTGGCCACCAGCCGCCTGCGCAGAAGCAGAAGCAGCCTCGCCCTCCTGGTCCAGCGCGCTCCTCGCCGCCGTCGCGCTCGCGCGCTGCTTCTCAAGCGCATGCCTCTGCAGCACCTGGAACTCGGTCAAGCTCGCGCGGAACTCCTGGTTGAGCTTGCCCTGCGTGTACTTCTGGCTGGGGCCCAGGTCCTCCCAGGCCGAAACGCGCTTCAGGCCTTCGCCGATTTCTTTGAAGCTGTCGCCTGTTTCCTGCAGGAGGCTTTGCACGCGCTCGCGCACGCGGTCGGTTTCGCGCCGCGTGCCTAGGAGGGCTATCTGGTTGTTTAGGCGCGATATGGAGGATGTGAGGGTGAAGAGTTGGTCCGAGAGGGAGGTTGTGAGGGCTTGGAATTCGGGGTCGTCGGCGTATTGCGGGTCGTCGGAGCGGCGCCATGTTGTTGGTTGGGCTGGGAGGTGTTAATCGGAGGGATATTGGAGTGTGAGGGTGTATAGTGTCTATATGTACCTTCGAGGCCTGGGTTGTCTTGGAAGGACATGGTTGAGGCGGTCAAGGTCGCGGTCGCGGAGTAGCAGTGTATGAGTAGGTAGTTCCGAAGGGTGTCGCTTGACGTGGTACTACAGCGTGAGACAGTCTGAGTGTATGCGGTGTAGAGGTAAGTATGGTATGTATGTAGATGTAAGTGAATGGTGCCTAGTCTATGTTGCGCCTGCCTGCTCTTGTGGATGACGTCTGGGGTTTGGGTGGCTCTTGCTCTCAATCTCAAGCTTGTTGCTAAGACTGTTGTTTCTTGAGCAAAACATGTGACAGCGCGCCATTCTTGCGATCGACCATCCTACACACCTCGACTTCACCTTGTCGTCCATCAACCACCCTCCTTTTGACAGTACGTCTACCGACAAGGCACTGCTTCTATTGAGCATGAGAGCTTGAAGGCTTCAATCGAATCGCCTCGCTCTCCCTCTTTCTTTTCTTTCTTTCCTCCATGGCAACGGCAACCCGGACTCGGACTACAACGACGACTACAACCCTACCACCGAGTAGCATATTCGCGTCCTCGAGGAACACCGCAAGCATGTCGTCTCCCAAGCCCGAGCCAAGGGCCAGGTCCTACAAGGACTTTCTCACACCAGCAATGCATCGTCGCTTCACCAGCGCAACCACAGCCGCTCTACTCATATGCTATGCGGAAGCTGTCCTCATGTCCGACGGCATCCTTCTTCAGTCTTTCCATGGGTGTCATCGACTTCGGCTCTTCCTGGGAAGTCTGCTTCTGCGTCTCTTTAACTTCCAGTAGCTCCACCGTGTCTCTTTCGCTGTAGAGGTGCAGGGCGGTTTGTGCGACCGCCAGATACATGTACAGACACCTGAGAACAATGGGGTTCTCGTTCAGTCTTGGCCTTTCGTATTTCCTTCCTTGATCGACCCAGCCCAAGTTTGCATCGTTTCCTCTTGACCAGATATACACCTCCCCGAAGACAAACGCCGAAACGAGATACCACCAGAGCGTGTTGTACGTTCTCGGCGCTGTGAGGTGTTGATAGAATGTTTCGAATCCAGATGCAGTGGTCCTCGCGCCGACGTGCAAGTTTGCCAGGCGGATGATGAACACGCTGA